TGCTTCCACAAAGACCTTAATAAAGAACCACAGGGCTCCCTCCGCTATAATCGTTCCTAATTCAATGAATAGCTCTGAGCAACCCAAGGCTAATCCTGGTGAAATTGGATTTTGATATCGACCAATCCAGGGACGCCTGTTTGCGAGACAGAATACGCACAGTCAGGTGGAAAAACGCACCTTTCTGATTCTGCTCCCCACCCCACCCAGAGCCTCCACAGCTACTGCCAACTCCGCCTGCACAGCCTCTGCTGCCCACAGCCAGGTAAGTGGGAGTGGAAGCGTAGGTAAGGCATGTTGATGCGTGGGAAAAACTCCCAGCCCATGACTGAATAGTCAGCTGCTTAAGGCCTTCTGAGTGTGAGCTCCCTCAGCTGCAGAGCTAGGATTAGAGATTCCACCCCAGGGTTGTCTGCAGTTGCTGCGGTGGGAGAGGCAAAGGTGGGAGGCGCAGACGTGGTGGGAACACCACGCAGCCGTTGGCAAGAATCAGAATCAGAGGGAGAGGAGAGATTTCAACATACAGTGCTGAGGGCAGGGAGGGAACAGCGATTAGAAATAAAACAAGAAATGATACAAATTTTTAAGAGAGAGAGAGAGATGACGAATGTGAGACAGCAGGCCCATCCATGGGTTCATTTCCCAAATGCCCTCCATGGCCAGGGCTGCTGAGCTGAGCCAAAGCCAGCCAGGCGCCAGGAATGCGGTCCTCATCTCCCAGATGAGCAGCCGGCAATCAGTCACTGGAATCACAGCCGGTGCCTCAAGGTGTGCATCAGCAGAAAACTGGAATCGGGAATGGAGCTGGAACTCAACCCAGGTACTCGGACGTGAGACACGGACATCCCAACTGACCTCTTAGTCCCTAAGCCAAAGTAAGCCAAAGGCCTGCCCCCAGGAATCATGTTTGATGGAAATGAAAAGCACACGTACTAGAAATCAGCACTAGACAGAGCTCAAGAATACTGACCAAGTAAGCAGTAAAAGGCAGCCCTGCCCAATAAAATAAAGCGTAACTAATATAGATAATTTTAGAATTCCCAGAGGACTCATTGCAAAAGGAGAAAGAGGTATTAAGACATTTGAAAAATATACGTATTTTAACCTATTTTATAAAAATAATTATTCCAGAATGTCCTCACTGTAATAGATAATTTACATTATTTTTTTTTTCTTGGTACTCATTCTTCAAAATGTTGCTTTACACCTAGAGCTCATCACCTCCATATGGGCACTGAATTTTCAGGGGAAACATTGATCTACGTTAAGTTTTGAAAAAATGACAGCTGAAGACTCAAGAAAACCACAAAGGTTTCCAATAACCGAATCAAGTAACAGTGCTTACGTTTCAAGCTGAACCCAACTGAAAATGCAGTTCCTCAGCCTCTGGCCCCACTGCACGTGCCGAGTGGTGTGCGTGCCGCACGGTGGGAAAAATAAGACCCCTACAGACGTCTGTGTCATAATCCCAGGAAGGTGTGAGGAGGTCACTTCCCAGGACCAAGAGGTAATAAGATTGCAGAGAGAATTAAGGCTGATAATCACCAGACTGTAAAACAGATTATCCTGGATTAACCAGTGTGGGCCCAACATTATCACCAGTAGAAGGCAGAACTTGCAGGCAGAACAGCTCACAGCGGGAATGCTACCGTGTAAGACTCCGCCACCTTTCTGGTTTGAAGACCCAGGAAGGGGTCATGAGCCCAACGATGGAAGAAGGAAAAGGCCAGGAGATGGAGCCCAACGAGAGCCTTCAGAAACAAACAAATCGTGCAGGCTATGATAGCCATTCCACCTGACAGCTTGAATGACAGCATAACACAGTCATGTTATCGAAGGCACGAGGTGCGCGCTACTGCGATGCAGCAGTCAGAAAACCATCACATTCCCTGACAGGGAGCCCAGGCATAGCACTTTCCCTTCACTGCACAAAGTTCTGTTCCTCAAAGCTTCTGAGCCCTAGAGGGTCGGGTGGAGCAGAGTGGAGGGAGGATGGATTTAACAGGGAGGAAAGAAGACGGAGCTGGAGAGCAAGAGCCTTCCCTGGGGCCGCCGCCTGCAGTGCTGGCATCCCATATGGGTGCGGGTTCGAGTCCCAGCTGCTCCATTTCCCATCCAGCTCTCTGCTGTGGCCTGGGAAAGCAGCAGAAGACGGCCCAAGGCCTTGGGCCCCTGCACCCATGCGGGAGACCTGGAAGAGGCTCCTGGCTTCAGATCAGTGCAGCTCCGGCCATACGAGCCAACTAGGGAGTGAACCAGCAGATGGAAGACCTCTCTTTCTGGGTAACTCTGATTTCAAATAAATAAATCAATCTTAAAAAAAAAAAGAGCCTTTCCTAAAGCAATGATGCTGTCACTGGGCTCTGAAATGAGCAGTGTGATGAAGTCGACTCTCAACCAAGTTTCAAATAAGGTTTATAAAAAGCTTTGTTTTCATCTGCTCGGGAGGGAGGGAGGGAAAAGAAGAGGGAGAGGGATGGGGGGAGGAGAGAGAGAGGAAAGGGATAGAAAAATAATAGGAAGAGGGGAAGAAGAACACAGAGAGAATATGAACATGTTACACCTGCTGGTTCACTCCCCAGTTGTCTGCAACAGCCAGGGCCAGGAACTCTTCCAGGTCTGCCTTGTGGGTAGCAGCGGCCCAAGCCCTTGAGCCATCATCTGCTACCTCCCAGGGCGCACATTAGCACAAAGCTGGATCTGAGGTGGAGGTGTTAGGACTCGAATCAGGCACTCCAACAGGGGGCACAGGCATCACAAGTGGCCGCTTAACCTGCCGTGCCTTGATGCCTGTCCCTCAAATAAAGATTCTGAATGAAATTCTTGGCTCCTGCAGGAATTAAAGATGGTACCTAGAGCATCTACAGTGTCAGATGGCTCCACTCAGAGGGGCTTTCAACAGTGGTGCTGGGTACTGTCCTGATTCCTGCTGTTACTCGGTGGTCCGCCTCCCCCCACCCCCCACATCTCTGTGTTCATGTACACACCTAAGGTTTCAGGGAAGTTGTGGACCCATTTCCTGGGGGTGACACATGCTAAGCCTCTGAGTTTTGCAGGCGATTTTTCCAAGTCCACACAAGCCTGCTTCTGCCCTCGTTGTGAGTGGAGACCGGGGAGGGATTGCTGCACAGATGCTGAGCTCAGCCGTCCACTGACGGCTCAGAAGCAACGTGCGGGGCCTGCCGAGGGGTCTGCAAAGAGCACGCAAAGGAAAACCTCACGGAGGTCCCACCCTGAGCTGGCGTCTTGTTGCTGTCTCCCAACGTGGTCCACGGAGGTGCAGTGAGCAGCCGTGATCTGCTCACAGCCGCACAGCTGGGAGGTGGCCGTGTGGGACTCAATGCCCAAAGGCCAAGATGCTCTGCAGTCGAAAGACAGCCCTGGAGGGCAACTGCCAAGCATGCGCGCAGAGGAGCGAGGGTCACAGCAGCTCTGCGCTCAGAGCAGCGAGCTCACGGGGGAGGCCCCAGCACAGCCACCCGGCCGGCCAGAAAGCACAGGAAACCAGACTGCTGCTGGAGCTTGCAGAGCCCTGAGCTGCCCTCCAGGGCCCCCCCATCAACCACAGCTTCCTGATTTTGCCTTTGGAGGTTTGCTTATCTCCATCTTCAGGAAATCTTAACACCCCAAAGTTAAACACCGCAGACAATGCATCTTCGTAACCCTCTACCATAGCGCGCAGTAGGCAGTCAGCAAATCCACGTGGAAAACCTCTGCAGGCTCAGCCCTCTTCTTTCTCCATGAGCACCCCCAATTCTGCTATCCAAGTAAGGAACCCCAGTGCCCAACAGGAGACGAAGACAGCCTGGCTTCCCTAGCCATCATCCTATTGGATTTCGGCAACTCCCCTCTCCCAGGCACCAACTCTTCCCAGGGATAAATAAAAAGTGCTCTTCTGAGTAGCCAGCTGCTTCTCCCTCCCCCACCAATCAAGTTATTTCTCAGAGAGAAAAGCTTGTGAGTGTCTTCCAGGCATTATTTGATTAAGTTGACAATATTATGTGAGCGATGGTTGAGTACCCACTGCGATGTACTTTGGACCAAATTGATTTGTATAATGAACACTTGCTCTGTCTCTTCTTGCAGCCTGAATAGCGGTCTTGATTTAGCCAGTCATGCCGGGCACCGAGAGAATTTACAGGGTCCACGGTGCCTCTCTCTCTCTCTCTGCACAGCATAGCAGGGGCAGTGCATGGGCTGGCATAATTCAATACATTGTACTATAAGCTCAGAAAATAATATCACGGAGCTCTGCAATATACCTATGTGATTTGATTTGTAAACCTGATAAAAAAGCAATCGAGGAAAGTTCAGGGGGAAAATATATATGTTCTAAGCAAAAATGTAACCATATTGAATGTGTACAAAGAGCCACAGAATGGGGTGGGGGAGAAAAATCAGGCGTACTCAATCAACTTCATGCCTTGCATTAGACAATGGTGCCCACTCTCCATTTAAAACGAAGCGAGATGCTGAAAAGTTACTTTCCATTAAAAAATCACCATCCTAGGAAGCCCAGGGAATGTGAATTAAAACCCACGTTTCAGGCTTTCTCACAATCCTCCTTCCAAACGGGGCCCCTGCCGACTTTGCCCAGCTTCCTGGCTTTTTTCATTTCAAGTCCGGAGGCAAACAAATAAGTTAATCACATAGCTTTGGATGTAGTTAATGCCTCATTCGCAGCTCGGCAGGGCTGATTCCACAGACAGGTGACACAGATTTAAGAAATACATCGCATTTCCCTCAATGCAAATACACTCCATGTTCTGCTCAATGATGAAGCCTCAGAAAGGGGAAGGCTGCAGGACACAGAAGGACCGGCTGCAGATTCCTCAGCTGGTTCTGATTCTTGAGAAATATGGGACGAGCACGCACCCGGCCAAAAGTGCAGGGGCCATGCAGGTGTCTCTGCTAGTCGGCTCCGGCTGCTCCAGCAAAGCACCATGGGGGGGGGGGGGGAAGGGCTTACCAACAGCTACTTCTCAATGTACTAGAGCCTGGGGGTCCTGATCAAGATGCCAGTCAGCTGGGGTCTCAGGAGGCTCTTTCTGGGCTGCATATGACTGCTTTCCTGCTGTGTCCTCTCAGGTCAGCCAGAAATTAACTCTAGTCTCTCCCCCTTTTTACAAGGATGCCAATCCCCTCCTGGGAACTGCACCAAGCCTCACCCCTGCCCCGAGTCCCCTTCTCCAGATGCCATCATGTGGTGGTGGTGGTGGTGGTGGTGGGGTGTTGGGGTTCCACATGTATTTGGGGTATAATGTAGCCCACAGTAGTGCCGCTGAAGCAGACAGCACAGACACCTGGGAGTATTAGGATGGATGTTTGTCCTGGAAGGGAACAGGGGGCTCAAAAGCAGGTGCTATGGGCAGGGTGCATTTGGCAAGGCACTTATGCTGCTTCTTGGGAGATCCGCGTTCCAGATCTGAGTCCCTGGGTTCAAGTCCTGGTTCCATTTCTGATTTCAGCTTCTCGGTAATGTGCACCCTGGGTGGTAGTGATGGTGCAAGTACTTGGGTCCTTGCCACCCACAAGGGAGATGCAGATGGAGGTCTGGGCTCCTGGCTTCTGCTCCTGCCTACCTCTGGATGCTGCAGGCATTTGGGGAATGAACCAGTGCATGGAAGATTGATTTTGGTCTCTCTCTCTCTCACACAACACACTCACACTTACACACAAACACACCCATATTTTCTCTCTCTCTCCATTTCCCCCTTTGAAATAAATACAAGTTTTAAAACAGCTGTTCATTTATCCAATCACCCCAATATATTTATTATACACCTATTGAATTTGATACTTCAAAAAGTTCTTAGAAAAATGGAATTCAGTTTACTTAGGTGTCAAAGCTTTTCAAAACCTATGCAGAGTTTTTGAGTGACAGGCATTTTCCATGATCTTGTTGAAGAACCCCGCATGCATGAATTTCAAATGTTTTGCACCAATATAAGTTGATCTTTTAATTCCATTTTCCACAATTTTTTTCAAGCACCTTCATGTATCAGGCAGATATCCTGGGGACAGATACCTGCTTAGCAGAGGTCAGAATGACAAAACTACAGAAAGTACTCTTTCTCTAATTGTCCATGTTCCAAAGCTTTGACTTTTGGCTTTAGGAAAAAGAACTTTTTAAAATGTAGTAATGATAATAATTAACTATAAATGTTTACAGGCACTGGAACCAAACTATCTGGCTTTGATTCTCAGCTCCACTACTTCCTTGCTGTGTGACCTTGGGCAAGTTCATTAACTCCTCTGGATGACGCTTACTTGAGTTAGACAACAAGAACACCACCTGCACCTACTCCAAGTGAGTCATTACCCATGAGCGCTCAGGGTGGCTTCCAGCCCACAGTGCCTGGCATTTAGAACCAAGCCTGACTCCTGGCTGCTGTTTACCAGTCCCTGGCTGAATGGCCACCGCTCTGCTAAGCTCTGTCACACAGTGCATTTCAGGACAGCACCCGATGAGCCGGAGAGGAAGAGTCTATGACTGCGTCCAGTATGACAAAGGCACTGAAGTGGAGAGAGGCTGATGGCATCAGGCCACACAGGAGGCAGTGGGCGGAGTGGCCGGGAGCCTGGGTAAGCCCCTGGGTGGAGACCCTCAGTGACATCGAAGGAACACGCAGCACCTTCCTAATCTCTGGCTTAGACAAACTCAGCCCACATCATTTTAAGGCTTCCAGAGTCAACGACACCCAAACTCTCACCCACTGGACCAGCAGGGGGCAGAGGGCATCCCCAGTCTCTGTGCGCCAACCTCTGTTGGGATCTGCAGGATCAGGGGCACGAAGCCCACCTGTGGGACCGACCTACTCTCTCAGGGTTGGGGCCCAGGAGAAGGGGCCAAGGACATCCAGCGGGACAGGAGGCTTCCCAGTAGTGGGCAGTACACCTGTGGTTTCTCTCTCATTCTCCTGGGGCTCAGTGCTGCTGGTGGCTTGCATGAGTGTGGTGGGGCCTGTGACGCTGGCATGCCTGGGTTACTTGGGCAGTGATCAGCCTCTGCTGTTGCCTCAAGTCCTAAGGCTTCGACACAGCCACCCAAGCAAGCTGAGTGTCCGCTCAGTGTCCACTTAGAATCCCTGTCCTCGCCCCTAACTTCCGGTTCTCTCAGAGCACAGACGGCAGGTGCCCTGACGCATCCTCCCCGACAGTTATTCTGCATCCTGTTGCTCTGGGTAACGCTGGCAACCCCCACCTTTGCCAATCCTCAGGCGAGAAGCGGGTGTCAGCGACACCCATGCACTACTTTCAGAGCTGCATCCAGTTCTCCCAAGAACCCTGGCGCTGTCTTTCGCTTTGACAACCTTTTGTTCTGGAGCTCAGAGAGCTTTCAGCCTGAGGGAGGAGGCAGCCTCTCCTCTGGGGGGGGGGCCTCCAACACCCCCCCCTCCTGGAGAGGCTCCCTTGCCGCTTTCTCCCCCCAACCCCGTCTTCACGTCCTAGTTTTCTTTCATCCCCTGTCCCGCTCAGAAATCAAAGCCAACCTCAACATCGACTTAAAAAGAAAAGCATTTGAAAGTTTGGACAGAACCTTCACAGTTCCACCTAGCTCGGATGCTTTTTCTTATAACTTATTATGCAAGATTTAAATGCACCAAATGGCAATTCTAAACACTATGTTCATCTTCCAGGCCCCAGAAAACTGCTGAACGCACAATCCAGTTGCAGAAAACGGGTGGGGAATTGAAGATGGAACCGATCTCAGAAAACACCCGGACTTCCCTTACTGATGGCTTCTCTCGTGGTGTGACTATACCAACAAAGACACAAGGGTTCCGCAGGGTTTGTTCCAGGACTAACAGGGTTTCTCTAGTGTACACCAAGACGTGTAGATGTCCTTCTCCATGAACACGGACACGGCTATTCACATGAATTTGGCAAAGAAACGTCACTGCTGAAAACTGACACGATTCCGCTTGTTTCTGAGCCCCAAATCCTGTTTGTCAGTAGGCTACTTTCTCCTGCACTGTTGAAGGAGGAGGGTGGGAAGTCTATGTTGGGAAATGGAAATACTAAGAAACCCACTCTGAAAACAGAAATCCCTGCATCTCCTTTCTGGTTTGATCTTTAGCTAGACAGGGCAGCAAAGTCTTCCTTAAAGAGTCACAAAGTCAGTAGTGGGGATTTGCGGGCCCTGATGCTTCTGACGGGTGATTAAGGGCAGCCACATGGGCTGGTGCTGTGGTGTAGTGGGCTAAGCCTCCGCCCACGGCCCCAGCATCCCAAACGGGCACCAGTTCGTGTCCCGCCTGCTCCTCTTCCAATCCAGCTCTCTGCTATGGCCTGGGAAACAGCAGAAGATGGCCCAAGTGTTTGGGCCCCTGCACCAGCACGAGAGACCTGGAACAATGTCCTGGCTGCTGGCTTCACATTGGCCCAGTTCCAGCCATTGTGGCCACTTGGGGAGTGAACCAGCGGATGGAAGACCTCTCTCTCTGGCTCTCCTTCTGTCTCTATGTCTCAAACACATAAATCTTTAAAAAAGGAAACCACAGCTACTATGTAAACAGACCTAGACTGCAGCTGTGTCCCAATAAAACTTTATTTATAAAAGCAGACAGTGGGCTGTTTCGCCTGTGGGCTTTTTCTCTGTACCTAAAGGAACAAGTCATCTGTGTCTACAGCGTTCCATTCAGCTTCCATTTGAAGACCTCCTGCTTCCATAAAGAACATTGCAAGGACTGAAGGATAAAGGAGAAAGACGACGACATTCCGAGGTCTTGGGACACTCTCAGTTCTAGGAGGGAAAAAGCTGATAAACCCTCACAGTGCAAGACAATGTGTGAGTTTTCTGATCGAAGGACCTCTGGATAAAAAATACAGTTGGATGGAAACGTCTTGGAGAAAGGATTATTCGGTAGCCATGTAATAGCAGAGTCCACAAGAAACCTTCCAATACGCCCATCACCTAACTCTTCAAAAGAAGAAGGTCACCTCCTACCACATTATGGAACTCATGGCGCTCTGAGAAGACAGTGAGGCTAAGGTGACGTGCTTTGGTCAGCAGACATGAGGCTCTATTTCCCCACTTTGGAGACAGGAATGACAACACCTGCCCCTCTTGAACCACAGATACACAAATGAGATAACGCTCCCGAAAGCGCTCTGGCCATTTCAAGTTCTTGAACATCTGCAGTCCGTGTTTCCATTTTTCTAGGAAAGCCACATAAAGGCAAGACTTAGGGATGGACATCGAACCTAGTGGTTCAAGGGTCAGTCAGTACACTCCATCCCATATCCAAGTACCTGGGTTCAAGACCCACCTCCGGCTCTTGCTAATGCACGCCCTGGGAGGCTGGCGGTGACAGCGCAAGCAGCCGGGTTCCCGACACCCACGTGGAAGTTCTGATCGAACTCCTGGCTCCCAAGTGCAGTCCAGCCCAATGTGAACCTTTCATCTGGAGAATGAACCAGAGGACGGGAGCACCTGTCTCTCTTCCTTTCAAATAAAAATCTTTTTAGAGCAAGATTCGATCACAACAGGATGACAATATGAAAATCCATGTGACAACTCTAAGATTTTTAGTTAACAGAGTCCTTCCATTTAGGAGACTTCAAGTCAAGCCCGATTTTTGTCGGCTTCCTCACTACGTCATGTTTGCGGGGTTATTTACTGCAACTTGCATCAGTACAGACACTGAGTTTGGTCTACCCTCAGTTGGGGGGTGGGGGGCAAGGATCTGGCCACCTTTACCAAGATGTGGTTCTGTGGCCTGAAATGCAGACAGGCTTGCCTTGCAGGTGAACACAGAGTTACAACCTCACCTCTAAGTCCCCTGTTGAACATGAAAACTTCTGGGCCCCACCCCAGAACTACATAATATTATGGACCCAAGCGGAATCTTATGAATAATTCTCATGGATAACTGGTGCTATAGCCACTTTGCTGTCACTGCCTTTTACCCGAGGGAGACAACAGTGTGAGTTCACGTGCCCGGCGCCTGGACTGAGAAACCAAGTGGGAGTGGGTCCTCTGGTTCCCAGCTATTTGACCTTGGACATGCCTTCCACCTTGCAGCTTGAAGATGCAGATTTGTGAATTCATTCATTCAAAGGATATCGACTGACTACCTCCAATGAGACTAAAAACAAAAGACAGGCAGGATTAAAAGCACAATGTATGCCGAGTGCTTAGCGTGGCGGCTAGTGCTGCGTGAGCACGCGGTATCCATTAGTCACGGACTCCATTCTCTACCCTCCAGACCCACCTTCAAGAGCACAGCCGTTGTGCGGAAGGCCAATCCCAGCCTGGCAAGGGCTCTTGTGTAGCAGGCTTTGCTCCAGCCTCTGGCCCTCCCTTCATTTGGGTGGAGGGGGTTTCTTTCCCCAGAACTAAAACCTCCACCCAAGAGAGAAAAAAAAGACTTGCATTTTTAAGCTGGTGGGAGTTGGGGGTGGAGGCAGGTGAGGTTTCAAACAGTTCCTGTGATTGAAGGCAGGCAAGACTGCCTAATGGACCTCCGAGGTGCTTGGTTTCCAGGAGGAGTGCGCGGAGGGAGAGGGGGCAGGGAGAGATGTATAATGTATATATCATAATACAATCACAAAGCTGAGTTCCTTGGCAGATGGGACATTCTGACGGCGAGGCTCACTGCTGACTCTGATGATGGGATGCTTTCGATCTCTTATATTGAATTTGAGATTACAAGCCTACTTTTCCATTCAGTCCTGCCCTGCAGCTCTCCCAGACATTTTGTTATCTTTGCCTAAACCTTCCAGGAAAGGCCTCTGAACTATTTCCCTGTGCCGGCTATAGGGAAATAGGATGACTGCAGACAGCAGCCCCTCTTCACTGAAGGGTAAACTAAAGCTGCGGAATATTTTGTCTCCATTTTTAAAGAGGAAGGAAGGATCTCTTCTAAGAGGCGCAGCAGCAGCGCTCACTTAGCATAGCTGCCTGCAAGCATGTGCTAGGAACAGGAAGCCCGTGGACATCTCTCAGACGCGCATCCTGCGCTGTGCCATTCTCAGAAACGCATTCCAAATGCGGTCTGCACAAGGCCTCTAAGGGGGCAGTAATGCAGCCCGAGGCCGCTCACCCGGGCACTTCTGAGACCCGCAGAGTCCGGGATTCTAGTACTTTCAGTGCTGATGGTGGCTGATGAAGTCCTGGAACCTGCCCTCCTGGCTTGTGGGAGCCAATTGTTTAACTAGTCGGGAACTCTGCGTGCCTGTTGCTAAACACGGCCTGTAATAAAAGTTAAATTATGAAAATGCACCATGAATGTATAGAAAAAGTATTAGATTCAAAACTGATCACTTGCACATTCTTTTACTGCGCTGTACTATCAGCTAGGCCTGGGCCCTAGAGGTTCCCACCTGCTGGTGGAAGGGGGTGGGGTGCATGGACAGGGGACCTTGCATAAGTTCTCCTAACTCCACCCTCAGGGTTGAAGCTGGCAGCTGGCCATGGTGGGAGAATTCACACCCTTGAAACTGGAAAATCCTTCTGAGCGGACACCTGACCCCTGATTCCCCCACAACCAAATGCCCCAGGCTGGCTGTTACACAGCGACCAGCACACACCACACCATGCGTGTGTAACAGCTCTACCAGGAAATTCCAACACGGTGGCTACTGAGCCACAAGTGCTGAAAACACTGACGAAGGTTAAGAGAAAGTCGCTACAGCAGGCACATCCTGGTCCTCTTACCGCTGGCTTTTGTAATTCTCCTGGGCAATAAGGCAGTGCCAAGTATGTAGGCCTCAACTCCAGCAAGGGAAACACCTGGACCTCAGCCCCAGCCCCATGTGACATCAGTTCCATCATGTACAAAGTGGGCTTTCAATACGTGGTCGATTCACAGGAAAAAAAAAAAAAGATAAAATTTTGAAGACTAAATCAACAGAATCAAGGAGCTGGCATTTTTGGCACAATGAAGTAAAGCGCTACTTGTGAGATGGGCATCCCTATTAGAGTGAGTTCAAGTCCTGGTCGTTCTGCTTCCAATCCAGCTAACGTACCTGCAAAGGCAGAGAAGACGGCCCAAGTGTTTGGGTCTCTGCCACACATGCAGGACACCAGGAGGGAATTACTGGCTCCTGGCTGTGGGCTGAACCAGCCCTGGCCACTGCAGCCATTTGGAGACTGAACCAGCAGAGGGAAGACTGATCTCTTTCTCTCTCCCCCTCCTTCCTCCCTCCCTCCCTCCATCTCTGTTAGCCTTCCTTTTAAATAAATAAAAAAAAAAACCTTTTGAAAAAATGAATGTTGCATCAAGTCTGGTGCCTAATAATTGCTCAATAATCGACATAACTGACAGGTGTTTGATGATGGTCATTATGATGACAATGCCATTAACAGAAGCATCTGGGAGAAATCCTTTGAAATTATGGGAAGAGTTGATGGATGCTACATTGAATTTGTGACTTGAAAGAATTTTCCAGAAAATGACAACCACAACCTTAATTTCCCTTTCAACTCCTTCATTTAAACAATGACACTCAGACACTAATCACAACACAACACAAAGTACGTTGGTTCCATCACTCATCCTCAGGATACTTCTTTTTTTTTTTTTTTTTTTTTTTTTTTTTTGACAGGCAGAGTGGACAGTGAGAGAGAGAGACAGAGAGAAAGGTCTTCCTTTTGCCGTTGGTTCACCCTCCAATGGCCGCCGCAGCCAGCGCGCTGCGGCCGGCGCACCGCGCTGATCCGATGGCAGGAGCCAGGAGCCAGGTGCTTCTCCTGGTCTCCCATGGGGTGCAGGGCCCAAGGACCTGGGCTATCCTCCACTGCACTCCCTGGCCACAGCAGAGAGCTGGCCTGGAAGAGGGGCCACCGGGACAGAATCCGGCGCCCCAACCGGGACTAGAACCCGGTGTGCCGGCACCGCAAGGTGGAGGATTAGCCTAGTGAGCCACGGCGCCGGCCTCATCCTCAGGATATTTCTAATTTGGTGCTAAAACAATGCTCAATTTATAGATGAGGAACAGTGAGTTCAGGAAGGGATCCACACAGGAGTCGGGGGAGGTCCTAGGACCAAGGTCTCGAGGCTCTAAGCCAGTGGCTTCC